CTATCTATCTATCTATCTATCTATCTATCTATCTATCTATCTATCTAATTTTTGAGGCAGGGTTTTTCTGTGTAGCCCTGGCTGTCCTGGAACTCACTCTGTATGTAGATCACAGAGATCTGCCTGCCTCTGCCTCCCGAGTGCTGGGACTAAAAATGTGTGCTACCACCACCCAGATGCATGTGTGTTTTGCTTCCATGTATGTCTGTGTGTGTACCACTGTGCCTGGTGCTCAGGGAGGCCAACAGGAGGCATCAGATCTCCTAGACCTGAAGCTATGGACAGTTTTAAGCTGCCATGTAGGTGCTCGGAAGTGAACCCAAGGACTCTGAAAAAAAGAGCCAGTGCTCTTAACTACTGAGCCACCTCTCCAGCCCCACAGATCAGTTCTAAGTAAAAAATACCTAAAAGCAGTGAAAAGGGGTAATAAAAATTTTAAAACATACTGACAACACAGGGCAGAACGTATACTTACCACTTGGCTAATATCATATCCCCATGGCAGGAAAAGAATGCCTGTGTTATACTTCTCCCAGTGAGACAGGATAAAAGAAAACAAAACTACCCATAACAGGAGATAAAGAACAAACACACTGACGCCAGTTGGTCCTCGACCAAAGATGGAGTACACCGTCACAACAAAGTAAACACATGACCAACTATCCAGGCCATGGTCAAACAGCTCCCCTAACGGGGTGCTGGAATTGGTTCTACGTGCTTGTTTTCCGTCTACTCCATCTGCAACAAAACACACATCACAGGAAGAGTCAACATCTTATCAGCATGGAGAAAGTCAATTTCAGAAATAAAATACCTAATTCCTTTTTTAAAGATTTATTTTTCATTTATTTATTTACTGTGTGTGTGTGTCTTGCATGTATGTGTAGAAAGCCAAGAGGGCACTGAATCCCAAGGAGCTGGATTACAGGCAGCTGTGGGCCACCAGCCATGGGTGCTGGGAACCAGACTGGTTCTCTGGAAGATCAACAGCACTCTTAACCACTGAGCCATCGCTCCTCTAGCCCTACAATCTCTTAAGGAAGAATCCAAAAACTCATGTCATACTACATTGAATCGTGTCATTTTGGATCTAAGTTAAAAGCATTCTAGTTGGACTCCATACTAGGCACAAATTCTCAAGCTCTCTAACTACTTGCTCCAGGAATCAAAAGTAGTTCAGTCACCACACTCATTTCATCCTCTGTGATATAAAGTCCTTTCTTCATAGATCTACTCTTTTCCTCATCTTAAGTGCTTTCAAAATAAACCCTCAAGTAAAATAGTCAGCAAATACTATGATTAAATTTGTCAAACTTGTACAGTGCACTCAGTATGCTTGGTGCTGTAAAAATGACAAAAGGGACAGAAGGACAACTTAGCAGTTAAGAACACTGAGTCCTCTTCCAGGCTTCAGGTTCGATTCCCAACACCCATGTGGTGACTCTGAAGCATCTGTAATTCTAGTTGCAGGGACGGGACGCTGGCAGCCTCTGCAGGCACCAGGCACACACATGGTACATATGCATAAACACAGGCAAAATACCCCAAATATGTATAACTAAAGTAAATAAACAAAAAATGCAAGAATCTTATGGTTAACTGAGTTTGTGCCCTTGGAAAATCTACAATTGAGAGAGGGACATAAGACAAACACTAAAAGCATGGTGTATAACAACCATGAAAGAGCCCCAAAAGGCAAGAGACCCCCTTCAGATAATCTGGCCTTCTGAACAGATGAAGCGTGAGTGGGAACATGAAGACTAAACTGGACTTCAGTAGTTAAGAGACACAAGAATTTGCCATTTCAAGAGAAGAAAAGTGCTACAAGCAATATACCATGAGATGAAAAACCACAGTGCATATTAGAGATGTCAAAAAGCATAATTTGTGTTCAGAAGAGGCAAACAACAAATATAGCTTGATTAGAAGCCAGTATGTGAAGGCAATATCGAAAAGCTACAAGAGGGGCTGGAGAGATAGTTTAGCATTTGCTGGTCCTACAGAGCACCCAGGTTCCGCCTCTAGCATCCACACGGCAGTTCCCAACATCCGTAAACCTGTATCCAGCCTCTTAGGATACCTGATATGCACAGCATATAAGCACACAGAATATATAGGTAAAATACTCAGACATTAAAAAAGAAAAAGTCAAGCACCATACTTGGTTCTCTATTAAAAACAAAAACAAACAAAAAAACTCTAAAAAAAGAGAACAGAACCACCTCAAAAGCTTAGGGACTAGAAGGATCTACTAGAAGATTTCTGAATAGGAGGACAAGAGGAAAGCCACGCTTAGGAAACTTCACTGCAATAGTGTGAGTGTGAATGACAGACAGGTTGGAGACAGGGACCTAGTCAGTTAGCCTAAACAGAGACTGAGCACAACAGGAATGAAAAGCTGGTGGCAAGAACATTAGCAAAGAAAGAAAGCCGGGTGCGGTGGTGCAGATTTCCACGGAGGAGGCAGAAGCAGAGGATCTCAAGTTAGAGGCCAGCCTGAGCCACAAGTGAAACTCTCAAAGAAAAACAGACAAGTTAAAAAGAATATGTAGAGAAGCAAGATCCAAGAAGAAACTGCACAAATTTCCAGCCTGGGTAACAAAAAACAGCAGTGCTCCTACAAAGAGGGAAGGCAGCCGACCAGGAGGGCTGGGGTAGACAGGGATCATAGTTTTTCCTGTTTCAATGGAGCTGAAATATGTATTTTTTAAATCTTTCTCCTATTTACTAACAATTTTCTATTTTCTGTGCAACTCATATGCTTAAATCACCAAATACAAAAAACACATTAATTATTTTGTGCATTTTTTTCAGTGACCTCATCCAGCTCCCTACATTGGGTCTGAGTATGCTTCAGAATGTAATTTTTTTTTCTAAGAATAGTGATTTTTAAGATATTCCATTATTCTGAAAGATATACTTACCCGTACAAAAATTACTACAGTGCCAAATAAGTTAATGTTTTTGTACTACATACTGACACTTAATAAAGATTATAAACTGCCTCCTGTTAGTTCATGACTAACTCTGCGACAAACTGCTTACATGAAATCAGGCTCTTTGAAGAAAGTGCAGAAGTGAAGCAAATGGGGCGTGGAGCAAATGGGGCGTGGAGCCTTACGCAGCCCCTCCGGAGCGCTGTGAGCGAGAGCCCACAGGCCACCCCATTTCGCCCTGGTGCTCAGGGCGGCCCTTGACAACACACGGCAGCAGCACTTCATATCCTGCTCACCTTTCCTACTCAGTGCAGTGAGGAAGCCCCGATATTCGCGTGGCCGTTAGCTAAGGTTTCCCAGGCTCTTGCTGACCTCATCCGTTCCCTCTTAGCGCTCTTACCACCCACATCAGCAGCAGTGTGCAGCGCTGCTTCTATGAGACCAGACCATATTTATTTGAAAAGACTTGAACAACTTAAGGTTTACCTCTGCTCTTTCACATGTGCTTGAAAACCAAATACTACACTGCTATTATGTGTCAGGCAATGTTCTAGAAACTTAGGGTGTACCGGTAAACAAGAGTACTCACTCTTGAAGAATATAATATTTTAGTTAGAACAGCAGAGGGGAAAGAAGGACGAAGAACACAGGGTGAGACACAGATACTCCTGCAGCAAAGCAGTCTTGGCAGAACAGAGCAGTACTGGCCTCACCTATATGGCCCTGACTCCTTCACTGAGTAAGAACAGCTCACCTCCTTATCTGTTTTCCCATTGTACTCTATCACTGCCTCTCTCGGCACCCATCAATCATTTTCTATGTCAGGATTCCTTGCCAAACTTAAAGCCAAAATAATGTCTTACTTCAAGAGCTGATAAAACTTATGGTAAGGGCCAAATAATAGATGTTTTAGGCTTTGTGGGGCATATTCTGTGAGATTCTGTTGCAACTTCTTGACTGGATCTTTACTGCAGGAAGGCAGCCATAAACAGCACATAAGGAAACGAGCACAGCCGTGTTCCAGTAAGCTGTGCTTCTGGAGAGTCAATTCTCTTCACAGGTGTGGTCCCTGGTAGGCTGCCCATGCCAAGGGAAGGCCCTAGCTGTACCCATGCACATACAGCGGAACTAACTGGACTCAGTGGGTTAAAAAGGAAAAGAGAAGAGGCATGAAGTTGGGAAGAGAATACAGAAGGGCATCCAAAAAGTGTCAAGGAAAAGCAGGGGGTTGATACAGTCTAAACATATTATGTATGTGTATAAAAATCACTAAAGAATTCTTAAAATTTTCTTGAACAACAAGAAAATACACACAAGAAAACAAAAGCCTTACTTCAACACTAGACAGTTTTCAGATGTGGCTTGCCAGCAGTCACCCGGCAATTCCCATTTTATTATGGATCCCAACAGTGACAGCATTCTTCACAGATTCAAAGCTAAATTTATCACTTTGAACAAGACATTAATAGATCCTAGTTAAAATGAACTAAGCATAGAAGAAGACGTTAACTTAATGAGTGCTCAATCACGCTGATATGCCAGCCAATATCTGCAGGCTTCTTACCTAGAGTGTAGGCAACAAAGTTGAGGATGCCCACGACAATCCACACCCAATCAGGAACATGCTTGTGACCTGGTGCTGCGAAGGAAAGTAACCACGATTTTAATGCGGTCTAATTCCAATAGTGCTGACCACTCCACCTGCTGCCAGGTTAAGTTTCAGGTTAAGCATATTCTGCACACAGAACTAAAATATTGAAATTTAGCAATAAACTCCACCAAAACCAAAGCAGCTCCCTGGCATATTGTATTTTTATTGTAGTGCAAGATTGAGTGTTTATCTTTATTCCAAAATTACATAAAAGGCTGGATGCGGTGGCGCACACCTTTAGTCCTAGCACTCCAGAAGCAGGGGCAGGTGGTTCTCTCTGAGTTCAAGGCAAGCTTGGTCTATAAAGCAAGTTCCAGGACAGCCTAAGCTAGAGAGATCCTGCACCAAAATAGATAGATAGATAGATAGATAGATAGATAGATAGATAGATAGATAGATAGATA